TCTGGCAGCTGGTCTTCAGGAACCTCTGGAAGCTCAACGTCTCCCTGAGAACAGAGACAACAGGTGATGAACACGTGGACGCTGCTCCTCGGTTTAAACTTCTACTTTACATCCTCAGGTGAGTGACGGATAGAAAGATGATCAACCAGAGTGTAAACTAACACACCGACCTGAGTTATGGCCTCCAGCTCAGCGAGAACAGCGTCTTCATCCTCTTGAGTGAAGGAACCGGCCAGCATGTCGTCTATTTGCTGTGAAGACAACAAGCTCTCAGTAAGCAACAAACATTCATGTTGTAGATCAGACTAAAAGATGGAGGAGGAGACGTACTCTTTGATACTCGATGGCGTCTTGGGTTTCGTCCATAATCCGTTCCACTTCTTCAACAGACATCACCTCGTGCATTTTCTTCAGACATTCGTTTCCAGCCTTCAGCCCTTGAATGACTTTCGTTTCGATCTGAGCGAACTCCAAATCCTGAACCTGTGAAGCGCAGAACAAGAGTTTGGTGTTAAGTTTCACCGTCGTGCCGCTAGCTTCACCGGCGGGTCGGTGGAGTCCTCACCATGCGCTCCAGGTTTCCAATCTGGTTCTCCGTCTTGTCGAGGAGTTGATCCTGGTATCGCTTCTTCTTCAGCAGGAGGAGCGCTTTACTGCTCAACACAAAAGAAAGTCGAGTCAGAATCAGTCTGAAGAAAAGACCAACGAGCAACTCACTGTGTTACATACGATAAAATAAATTAAGAATAAAATGTTCCTGAGAAGAAAGACACAATCTCTCAGACACATATGTAGAAAATCTAGCTTTGGTTCTGTGACCATAAACTGAATATTTACAAATAACTGACTCAACATTTAGATTTTATTAAATTCCAGCTCATTATGTTTCTGCTACCGTCATTCTAAATCAGTTTAAAATGTACAGATTGTTTCTTGTGTATGATTTTAGGAGCCTGAATATTTATAAAACGTTTCATTTATGAACAAAAACAATAATGTGGAGAACATCTGTCAGAAAGCACACATCTGGAGGGATCTGTCAGCACTCACGGTTGCGTTCTCTTCACATTAACGTTGACATGTTTTTAAACACTCACTCTTTTTTCCCATTCCTCAGCAGCTGCTTCGCTAACAGTCGCTCCTTCTCCAGCTGCAGGTTGATCCTCTTCTGGTACTGCCTCAGCTTGTCTCTCTGCTGCTTCAGTTGCTGCAGTGAAACAGAGAGAAACCTTTTCACTGACACGCAGACTCACTCACACCAAACAGCAGCTTCAGGGTCCAAACAAGCTGCTGTTTGATCGGTTTCGCTGTAACTCTGCAGCAGCTGCAATGTGAATATTCAAACATCCACATCCGGTGAAACACCGGCACGATATCACACCGAGTATTACAGTAAAGCCAGACTCACGCTGGGGCTCTTCGGATCAAATCGGCGCACTTTGGTAAAAGTAGTTTACGTCTCAACTTCTCTAAACGAGTTATGCTGTTTGCTTCGGCTCTCAGTCGAGCAATTTGAAGGAAAAATCTGAGATTAATGCATAAATCGAAGAGGATATACCGAGTTTTATTCATGCCGAATTGAAGAGTAACTTAGAGAATGTTCAATTATGAAGTTGTTTTGTATAAACTGGCTGTGTACGATTACTGATGACGCGATGTAGTTAAATTACCACATTTCTTACACGCAGCCTGGCGTGACTGGTTCAGTGTGGAGGCTAACGTTAGCTGTGAGTCTTACCAACACCGCTTTGTCTTGTTCTGTCACTCGGCTGTGTTTCTTTTTTCCGAATAGATTTCCCATTCTGACACAGCATCACAGCTACAACCAGGAAATAAACGGTGAAACTGATCCGATTTATAACTATTGTTTGTACAACTTGTAGGACGCAAACTACTGTAGCTGCTCCTCCATTGTTTGTGCCGTCATCTGTTCTGGTGTCCACACCCACAGTAGGAAGGACGGTGGCGGGGAAGGGACAAAAAACGGGAGGAATGGAAACACCTTGTTTAGAATCACGAGTGTTTGGCGCCCTCCAGTGGCCACAGAGGGGAACTTCAGAAAAACATTAGTCAGACTAGCATCAATGCAACATAACAGCATACTTCCGGAGTTTACCTTCAAAATAATGATTTAATTGAAGCAATTGTGGACGAACTCAAATAAATTAACATTAAACGATCAAGATAATTGTCGTTGGATGTCATTTGGAAATCAAGCAGATATTTGTACTAATTACTAATATTCTTAAAAGGTATTTGATATCTTTATCAAAGTATTTTTTCAGTTTTTACTCGTCTTACAACCAAACAATTGGAAAATATATTTTTTAGAAGTTTTGTATTTCTTTCATAATATAATTGTTATAATACCCTTGAATAGATAACAGTGCCCCTTTTCGTTTCCTATAAATGTACCTATTTTTTATGTAGGAGACATTTTCTGTTTTAGTTATTGCATACTTCATTTGTATTAATTATTATTAACATGATGATTTCCAATTACAGTAATTCCGTTCAGTAATTTCATTATTTTTTCTCTACATGGATGCTAGTCGTGCTCACTTTTATGTGTAAATAAGTCAATTTACGGCATTTAACATTATTATTAACATGATCATTTCCGTTAATTTGGTCACTGTATTTTGAAAGTACTTACCGGAAGTGGTAGTGTGTTGTCCTGGCTGCATTGACGCTGTCTTTATGAATTTAGTGTGTTGCAGTTCCTCACTGTGACCACTAGAGGGCAACATGAACACTCTTGACCATGAAATAAACAAACTGTTTCCATCTTATGTCTCAGTAATTTCATTATTTTTTGTTTTTCTCTACATGCATGCTGGTCGTGCTCACTTGTATGTGTAAATAAGTAAATTAACGGCATTTAACATTATTATTAACATGATAATTTCCGTTAATTTGGTCACTGTATTTTGAAAGTACTTACCAGAAGTGGTAGTGTGTTGGTCCGTTTGCATTGACGCTGTCTTTATGAATTTAGTGTTGCAGTTACTCACCGTGACCACTAGAGGGCAATATGAACACTCTTGACCATGAAATACAATTTCTATGCTCTTAACCACAGACTGAATTTAGCTCCGCGAGCTAATTTCACGAGCATCAATCAAGGTAAACACAACCACATAATACCCAGTGGAAATTATTCAAAAAAAACTTTTACAATCAACAATTCCAGTTAGACCTCGTGACGACCGGAAGCTAGCGTAAATAAAACAGTATTATAAACGCTCTTATTGAGGTGCAGGTACACGCTATGGCCGCTAGAGGGCGCTGAATACTCACAACTATCAACTCCATGATCATCAAGGCAGATTTAATAGCATACTAAGACTTCCGGTAAAGACTTTCAAAATAAAGCTTTCAAAACAGATTAGCTTTATAAAAGTTAAATAAAAAAACACTAAACGGCTCGCGTTCTAGGTAGGTTAGCATCTACAAGCTGTATGTCTTGCTATCGCTAGGGTTAGGGTCACTTAGTCAACTACAACCACATCTAGCTGTAGCAGTTACATGTTTTCATCGGTAATGAAGTACATGTACTTAAGTTATGGTACTTAACTACAATTTTAGGTACGTGTAATTTGAGTATTTCCATTTAAGGCTTCTACTCAAATATTGTATTTTTTCTAACTCAAAACATTTATTTGATGGCTTAGTTAATTTGCACATTATCATTACAAAATATGAATCAATGTACAAAGTAAGATGGATCATTATAAGTTAACCAGCAGTGAATAAAGTAAATAAAATACCTTTACAGTTTATGCAACACATGCATCTATAATTATAATCCAGTATTGTATTGTAAATTATTCTCAAATGGGTTATTCTGTATAAAGAGTAGCCTACGTTTAAAGCATGTTTTGAAGCTAATATCTTTGTACTTTTACTTCAGTAAGATTTTGAATGCAGGACTTTTACTTTTCAACAGAGTATTTATAACAGACCTTAATTCTTCCACCACTGGTTTTCACTTCAACTTGTGTTGCATTCTTGTATTTTATTCATTGTAATCTTCTGTACCCGTTACATATGGTTCAAACATCTTAATGCTTCATAGAGTTACAGGTGTTGTGTTATCCGTTATGTTATGTTATGTTATCTGTTACATGCTACATTACACTCACCAGGAGCAGCCAGGCTGGCTTTCTGATCAGTCCATTTAAAAAAAAAAAAATAAATAAAAATAAAAAAAAAGGCAAACACAATATTTTGGGTTAACATTTATTCATTAAAAGGTCGTGTAGAGACCACAGAGTTCATTAGTGTCCATCCAGACTTGGGGTGATGTAGCAGGAGAGATACAGCCAAACCAGTCTTTAAAAAATAAAATCAGTGCACGGATAATCTTACAAAGATTGCATAATATAAACAAAAGGATATAAAAGTTCCCAGAAATAGTGCAAATGTTACCACCACCAGGAAAACTAAATGAAACCTGCTCCACTTTCAGTGCCTGAATGCTCCTCGTCCAGAGACAGCTTTCTTCATGAGAAATAAACTAGACGTGACGAAGAGAAGTGCAAAGAAAGCAGACGTTATTTGGGTGTTTGGGTGGCTACATGTTACTGAAATAATAATAATATATATATATATATGACATGACGTCAACGTTTAACTTAATGCAGAGCTAGTGTTTTATTTTGTCCCGTTAGGAATATGACATGACGTCAACGTTTAACTTAATGCAGAGCTAGTGTTTTATTTTGTCCCGTTAGAAATATATGACATGACGTCAACGTTTAACTTAATGCAGAGCTAGTGTTTTATTTTGTCCCGTTAGAATGGGAACAAGGCTACATGTGTGCAAAAAAAGAAAAAGACAACAGCATTTAAATAAAAGTTTTCACATTTAAAAGGTCATTATTTACCCGACGGTGCATAAACCTCAGGAATAAACTTCTCCAGTTAAATGTATTTGATTCTTTAGTGGAAGTAATGTGCTCTCATGTTTGGAAAGTCAAATTGGCTTCAGACTCAAAATGCATCAAAAGAAAAACGGATAATTCATAAATCATCTTCAGTTATTGATGACAAAGCAGGTTTAAAACAGCAAATAAAATCTGGGACAGAAACACATGAAAGTAGCTCCTCCCACACACCTCGTGTAAAAACAACCACGACGTTCGGATCATTTATTCAAATCAGCATCTATAATTCATATCAAACAACCTCTTTAAAATGAACCTTCTGCTTCACGACTGTTCTGTGACAAGGAGACCAACTCAAAAAACAAACACGAGGTGATATTCTGTCTTACAGAGGTGGACAAAACCAACACACCCGGTAAACTCTTCTCTGTGAAGTCTAGTTTAGTTTTGCATTAGATCAAGTGTTGCTGTTATTTTGTCCACCTCCTTGTACTCAAGCAGCCATAACGATTGTACTGAAGCCGCTTCGTTAGAGACAAAACTCACCGCTCAGGTCCATTCATGATCATCAACACAATAAAACCCACCCTCTCAGGTCCATTCATGATCATCAACACAATAAAACCCACCCTCTCAGGTCCATTCATGATCATCAACACAATAAAACCCGACCCAACAAATCTCAGAATTCTCCCGTCTGTCCAACAAAGCATCTTAAATTCCCTTTAATCGATCATCCTCTCACCTGAATGTCATGAAAAAAAATTACAATTCATCGGTTTGCTGACAGGTATTGCACCAATAACGCACCTGCTTGCACAAACTGGAGATTCTGCAAATATAGCTGCAGCTACTCAGAGTATATACACAACACAACACAACACATACACACACACACACACACACACACTAAACAGGCTAGGTAGAGTTAACAAAACAGAGCTGCGTGATTAAAAGTGGCACCAAAGTGAAGCTGCTGAGTAACAGACCCTCCTCTCACCGGAGGCCTAAACGTACATTCAAAATCTGTTTTCCAACGCCTTCATCAAACCGGGCTGAGAGACGACAAATCACAAGCTGGAGCTCCACCTCTCCGTGTTCGAGGGGATCGGCCCCGGCTAACGTCTGGCGAGGGCGGCGTGCTACATGGACTGGTACACTACGGCCCCAAAGACACGGGTTCTGGCTCAAAGCTAGATCTGCAGAGAGGAAGGCCACAGGGCAAAGATCATCCATCCACAAAACCCTCATCCCAACATCCGTCTGCCACATTTCTAAAATATTCAACGTAGTCGTGAGCGTGCATGCAGAAACACTCGGTCCTGATGTAAACGTGGGACAGGACGTTAAGAAGTGCATGCTGGTGTTAAAGGAAGCCTGTGGAGAGCATCTCTTCTCTAGTGTTTCACACTCCACTGCCCCACATATATAATAACACTACTATGCAAACTATTTGTGCACAAGCTACTGACACCAAAGAAACTCAAAAGAACGTCTCAGTTTGAGTGTGAGGAGGTGAGGAGGTGTGTGGTTCAGAGATGTGCTGCTTTGGTACGATCGTGGATGGATCCCAGTTCTGGTAAAAAACAGTTTCACAAACACAACAGACGAGCAAACGCACTTACTGTAACGCCTCCCACGGAGGGGAACGGACGGAGAAGATTACAAAGCATAAATATTGTATATTATTTATATTTTTTCCTTTCACCGACTCCCTGTGAAGATAAAGAAACACCATTAGAATGAGGAGGAGGTGTCGCGGCAGGCCCCTTGGTCAGTGCGGTTCAGAAAACACGGAGCACCAGTGGACAAGGGGTTAAAACACACACACACACAGTCAGACCCAGTGTACGCGAGGCCCCTCCCCCACTCAGGTCCCATTCGTTTAAAGGGAGGTGGGCGTCGGTTTAGGGGGGGGGAGTGCTGGTGTGAGTCCTCGGGGTGCTGGAGTCCTGGCAGGTCTGGATTTGGTCAGTCCTGGTCTGCTGCCAGCCGGCTCCCTTCAGGTGGACTTCAGAGCTGGTGCACGGCGCTCTCTGTGCGGTTGACGGGGACGGAGTCGTCCTGCCGCAGACGCTGCCACTGGAAGGTGGTGCTGAGGGAGCCGACCTCGTCCTCCTCCTTCTCCTGCTCCTTGGCGAACTCCATGAACACCTACGGGACAAAGACACAGAGAGGAGGAGGAGGAGGAGGAGGAGGAGGAGGAGGGAGTGTGGGCAGAACAAAATAAGGATGAACACAAAGTTAAACTGTGGCGTATTTCTAAACCACATACCTGCTCCAAGGTCGACTGGGAGAAGTTGTACTCTTCAAAGTTGAAGGTTTGCTTGGCTGAAAATAAACAGAGATTAATACGATGAATTAAAATGAATGACTCAGGTGTGTGTGTGTGCGTGTGTGTGTGTGAGAGAGACTCGGCAGTGACTCACCTCCCTCTAACTGAGAGAAAGACTTGGACAGGGACTTCATGTCCTCCATGGGGATCTTGTAAACCATCAGAGTAGCAAAGCTGCAAACAAAGCATCAGCCAATATAACTAAGCATGAACAGAAAGTTATTGATTCTTTATTTTACAAACTGTGTGTGTTGCTCTTCCGGTAGCGTGTTGTTCTGGACTTGTCCTCGTCAGAGTGTGTAACATGCTGCCTTTCCTCCACACGGACTCGTTCAGTGGGCTCGGGTCTCACCTCTCTTGCCGGGCGGCGTGCGGAAAGATTCGGAGGATCTCTTTGTGCAGCAGTGCCACCTGCTGGAGCCCCGTCAGCTCCTCTCTGAGCTTCACCTCCAAACTGTAACCTCGTCCGTATTTCCCTTTCAAATGTTGGATGGAGCCGATGCATCTGACGGAGGAAAGAAAACAGACGGAGCGTTGAAGCGATGCAGAGGTCTGTTCTTTCAGAGTAAGAGTGCCACGCAGCCGTGAGCGCTAACCTCAGCTGGCCCGACACCAGGATGGCTACGCGGTCGCAGACGGCCTCGGCCTCCTCCATGTAGTGCGTGGTGAGGACGGCTCCCCGCTGACGGTTCTTGAAAGCAGCGCGTATGGCTCTCCTACACAGAGAAGATACAGAGGTCAGAAGCCTCCACAGTTCTGCTCTACAGCTGATCCTACTGTGTGACTAAGCTCATCACAGATGAAAGAATACATCAAAAACCGTTGAAAGAAAATTAATGAATATCAAGTCAAACTTGTGAGTCGCTCCACAAGATGATAGTTGAGACGCAAAACACATGAAAGCTCTTCACTGAGCCAGACAACCTGCACTTCTTAAACAGAAGGACATGTTTCTTCCTACGATGAAGCTTTGAATTCAAGAAGAAGAGAAATTGGAGCAGAAAATTACAACTAAATTGTACGGTCTTCTTCTTATTGTGATGCATTTTGTCTAATTTGGAGACATCGGAAGTTTCTGTCAAAATAACAAACGGATTTTCTGATTCGTACAAAGAACTTCTGAATTAATTGAAATGTACTTTATTTGTCTTTCTTGTCATTTTATTGTGTTTTGACTGCTGCTTTCACTGATGAAATAAAGTTTTCCATGTTTCAGTACAAAACAGAAATGTACGATTCAAATGAATTTGATTTAAATAAAGTGCATCTGGTCTCACCACATGCGCTGTTTAGACTTGGGGTCCATCCCTGAAGACGGCTCATCCAGTAAGACGATCTGAGGATTCCCGATCATGCTCAAGGCAAAGCACAACTGAAACAAACACGACATTCAGTGTTTAGTTCAGTTACACAGTGGTCCTTCAACCAGAAGGTCAACGTGTCTCTAGCTCTTCGTACACACGGTTTCTTTTCGAGTGGCTTTGTGCCGTCAGAATGATGAACATGTTCTCACCTTCCTCTTGATTCCAGCTGACAGGGTCTTGGCTTGTTTGTTCAAGTGGTCCTTCAGCTCCAGAGCGTTCACCACACTGACAACGAGAGTCACACGACTCTTAAGTATTCCTGTATCTCCTCCATCGTAACGGAACAAGCTTTCCTATCTGCAGGCGTTACGATGAACCAGGTTATCTGATTATTCCTACTGCCGTTCATTTCCTCTGTCTTGAGTCGGTGAAACAATAAAATGCTGCGAATTAAATGTTACAACTGCTGAATTTAAAAAACAGCTTTCGAGGTTAAAAAGCGCCATCGGTAAAAGTCCCCGTTATCAACGAGCCGTCCGCTGAACGAGGCTTACCGTTTGATGATACCCGGTACGTCCTCTCCTTTCAGGCCCTTGATGGCGGCGTAGATCTCCAGATGTTCATGCAGAGTGATCCTGGGCCACAGAGGGTTCACCTGAGGACAGTAGCCCACGTGTTCCAGAGGATTGTCCACTGGACGGAACTCTGTGCTGTAGTCGCCCATCAGGATCTGAAGGAAGCAGAACAGACGTCAGTGAGCTGGTGACGACATCATGTCCCACGTCACAGCTATGGAAATCAGATTACGCTCATATTTTCATCAGTTTTATGTCTTTAAGTTGATAAACCTCAGGGTTATATTAGTGCAATAACAACAACAATAATAGTAATAATAATAATAGCGATTCATACAAAAACCCATTTGATTAATTTTGTGCATGAATTCCACATCTGTGGGAAAGTAAAAAGTCTTAAATGGGGATCAGGAACTAAAAGCCCACAGTAGAGACGAGGAGGCTTCAGTGTTGTGTACCTGGCCGGCAGTGGGGTCGGTGTCACCTGACAACATGTGCATGATGGTGCTCTTTCCTGCTCCGTTGGGGCCCAACAGTCCAAGAACTTCACCTGAAGTTAGAAACAGCAGTTTGATTTTTCCTGAATGGAAGACTACGGCTGAAGTCCAAACCGTTTGGAAACAAAGGAATGAAAGTGTGAGAGCTCTGGACAAGAAGGAGTCAACATACCTTTACGAACACAGAAAGAGACGTTCTTCGCGGCCACTTTCCTCGTCTTGTTCAGAGAGAAACCTTCTCGTCTGCCTTTGTACTGCTTCCTCAGGTTACTCACAACCAACGCTGGTTTCTAAATATCACAGTGAAGAGAGACAACATCAACTTGTGTTCAGCCAACACCTTTTAATGGCTCCTGATCAAAAATGTACCATGAACAAAAAGAAATTGTGCAAATTCATGTCTTTAAGCTCAGGCAAAAACTCAAAAAATTCAACATCTTGTGCACAATTCATATTTTGTGACCTAGGTGTCTGAAAACAGACACTCCCAATATCCAGCTGGACACAAATTCACTACAGGTCTCAATTACACCTGAAGACGTAGGAGATCAGATGTTTACTCACGTCTTCACAGGACTGGCAGGTGAGAGCCTCCTTCACTCTGGCCTTCTCCATCCTAACATCCTCATCCTCGTTCAGCCCTTCTTCTGGGTTTTTCTCCACTTTGGGGTTCGACGACATCCTGGAAATGCAAAAGAATCTTCCATCATCATGACACGAGTCTCAGTTCAGACTAAGAAGCTTGTACTGTTTATCATTTATTTCAAATAAAAGAAAACTGTACTGAGGCAGTGTGTACTGCTGAGTTATGACCCGACATGTGATGGCTACCTGCTGATTGTCCTCCCTCCGTAACGGATCTCAAGCCAACGAAGCAGGAAAAGCAGCAGGATGCACTGGAGATACGGCTGAACACAGACACAGACACGCAGTATTATGGCTGAACATTTACTGAACGTAGAGATGATTTAAATTGAATACTTACAGCTATAATAGCAATGAGAAGGTTTTTCCACAGGAAGTTCTCCTCGTACAGAGAGGGGAGGAAGGTCGCCTGTAAACGGAGAACACACATCAGTGAGGCGGCTCCAGAGGTAGAAAAAGCAGCTTATGGTTTTATATGGGAGAGGTGATGAGAGCCGGAGGGGGAGGGGCTTAATCATTCAGTATGTGCAGCCAAAACACAGACAAAGAGCTAAAAAAGGCTAAAATGTACATAGAAGTGTTGAGCTGTTGTTAATTCAAAGTGGTTTCATTACTTCTTTATCGTGTCGTCTAAAATGTACCTTCATGCAGGTTTAACACAAAAAGATCAACCACTGAACGGACTGACTGGCTGAGCTGGTTGAGCTCCTACCTTGGTGATGCAGTTGAGGCAGCCCATGAGAGTATACAGAGGGTTGAAGAAACACAAGATATTGTGCAGATTTCTGGTCAGTCCAGGGTTGTCGTTCACAAATGACAACTGCACCAGCGAGGCCGACACCACACACACCTGAGGAAACAAAACAATAAGCCCATTTACATTTATATTAGTTACTGTGATCACAGTTCTTCATGATTTCAGGAACACATTTTATCGTGCTGTTTGACATTTTGGAAAGTAGTTACACCCGTATTTAAAATGTGTAGCCTCACCATCATGGAGATGACAGAGAAGAAATCCCTGTTGCTCTGGACTCGAGCGAAGCCAAAAGAAAACACGTAAGTGAAGAGAATCACGGCTGGACCAAAGCCGACAGTACACAGGACCTACGAGAGGGGAGAGGAGTCGTCGATGTCAAGGTTTGTGTTCTTCATGAACATTACGAGCGTGTATCTGAGTAAACGGCAGGACGGACCACAGAGGTGAGGTTGCTGGAGGTGAGCAGGTTTCCAGTGTGGAAGGAGAAGAGGATGATGGTCATGGAGGAGAGGATGAGGTAGTAGAAGGGGATGTCCACAGCTGCCTGGCCGCACCAGTAGGCCGACGGCACCAGACCCGAGATACGTAGTGTTGAGCGACACTTGATCTGAAGGAGCAAAAAAACAAAAGGGTAATATACACGTGGATGAAAATGTATGCTAATATATCCGACATCTACAGTATTATCGAATTAAGTGCAAACTATAGTTACAAATCCAAATAAGTTTACCACCAAAACAATCTAGATTGATGAATTACATGTATTTTTTGTTTTTGGGGTGAACTGTCCCTTTAAGAAATAAAGTATAAAATACAGTAAGTGATCACCTCTCTGTCTCGAGTGTGGTCCATTGCGAAATACGCAGGCATTCCAGCTGCCAGCATTCCCAGGATGATGGCCTCTATGTACACCAGAGCGTAGGACGTAGCATCTGGGATTTGCTGAGGGATGTCACAATGGGAAACATTTAATATCTTCAAATGACTGAGGCAGGATAGATGAGATCTGTGTCATCTGCCTCCTCAAATACCCACGTAATCAAATGGTTTGGTCCAGGTTCGGATCTGTCCGGTACCATTCAGTCCTCTTAGAAGAGCGTTGCTTAGTATATTGACAGCCATCGGCAAGGAGTGAACTGTGGTGCTGTTGAACGCAACACTGTATTTGAAACCCTGTTGACAAACAGAAGAGAAAGAGAGAGTCCACTCCGTCTAAATATAAGGCTCTCAGCAGCTCTCAAACAAACGGCCCTTCATCTGGAACACGACGACCACATTCACTGCAGGTGCTGCAGGAGAGGCGAGCCCACATCTGGTGCCTCATCAAACATCTGGTATCAAAAAATAACATTCAATCTGTCCAATAATGCAGTGACCTTGCTGGATCCTGTGACGTTGATGGCGGCGCTGTGGGGCGCTGCGGCCATGTAGTCGCTCTGTTTCATCATATCCACTTTGATGTCCTGAGACTGCAGGTTGTGAATGAAGTCTGAAATATCAGATCCTGTTGGCACAAGAAAGAAGCCACAATTAACCCACGTGCAAGAAAACGGCAAAATGCAGTAAGAGTGGCACCCACGGGACAATTCTTATCGACCGTGGTTTGAGGTGTTATTTAAGAGTTGTACAGCGGTCAGTATCCCATCACAACATTCACAGCAGGCAGCGCTTCCCAACAGAAAGAAGATCTGAGGCCTCATTGAGGACATCTTATAACAAAACCAGAAAACCTGAACCCATTAGCTCGTTTCCTCCGAGATCAAAAACCTCCAGCAGACTCACCTGAGGAGTTCTGAACCAGGAGGCTGGTGGCGTATCTCTGCTGCACCTGGTTCCCTTTGAGGAGGTAAATGGGCAGAAACTGACGGTCTGGGGAGTGAATCTGGATGTTTCCTGTGGCCAGAGACAGGACGAGCACCGCGGCAACAAACACCAGGAACAGGGCCAGACTGCAGGAGAAGGGAGGTGGTGAGGACAGACGGATCAAAGAGAGGGACAATGTCTCAAAAACATAAAGAATCTTTTGCGTATGCTGCCGATTATAGTTCTTAGAAAGCAAATCACCAGGTCAGACTTTTAAAAAATTGGAAATCGGAATCAGCAAAGAAAACTTTAAATCTAGTTGCTTGATTAAGAAGTTCATGTTATCAAATGAAATATCAGCAAACATTGGTTAGAGTCTTGCTCTTTAATTAAGTGCAAATTTTACAATGATAAAAATATTTAGCTTTTTGATTTCATCAAAGTTTATTTGCATGTCATGAGTTATAGATGTGTGAACATTCAGAGCTGCTCTGTGGCTGAAGGGGTCTATATTTATGTTTGAAAGCAAGTTCAGTATCTCAGTCCCGAATGACCGACCTGGAACTCGTTTTCAGATCATTGTTGTCTCTGAACACTCACGTGTAAATGAAGGCCTTCCTCTCCCTGTGCATGTTGAGCATGTGCAGCCAGGCCACGGCGCTGAACTGCTGCCGCCACAGAGCGTGACCCGACACCACGTCCGACTTGCTGTCTGAGAACGTCAGCAGCCGCTGGACCGTGTCGTCCACGGAGGCGTTGTCACATTCTTCCTCCGCCTGCTCCCGATTAAACACACTGTAGTCTGAAGACAAACAGGCGGACAGAGACTCATGTGGACGGTCGTTTTATTAAGTTAGGAAGTAGTTTGGGAACGCTGCTTTGGTGACACACTCACCAGCTTGGTCCACTTCAGCCTCTGCCTCCAAGCGAAGAAAGACATCCTCCAGTGTTGTCATTGAAACGCCATAGTTGATAATTCCCAGATTGGGTTGACAGTCGAGCTCTGAGAACAAGCCTATGAGAAACAAATGAATCAGCACCGTGTGCACTGCTGGTCCGCTGCTGTTACGCTCAAAGCTGAGTCACAAATGAGTTGCAGTCATTGTTTTTAGCATTTGACTGGTGAGGATTTTATAGACAGTAAGAAGACAGTCAGAGGAAACTAGGTAAGCTTAAAAAGTAACTTAAGGCATAGTTTGGATGTTTTGAAGTGGGGTTGTATGAGGTGCTTATCTGCGGTCGGCACGCCCCCAGTTTAAAGACACAGACAGGAGAACCAGTACGGGAGCAAAGCAATGCACTGAAAATTCATTAGTAGTTTAAGTGTATGCTTTATTAAGAATACTTTCACCGCTTTACCTTGCAGACTGACAGGAACTGAAGCGGTTATCTATGCACAGTTACTTTACCTCACCAAACGTGGGTGTTGCTGTACTACCACCGCCTCGATCGGACTAGTTTGTCACACAAGAACACGTTACACGCTACATTGCTTAGCTTCTGTGCTGGTACTCCTGTCTGTTTCCATATACTGTGTAGCACACTAACTATTGATAAGTACCTCATACAACCTCACTTAAAAAACATGAACTATCCCTTTAACTGGATCGTGTGGTCCGACCTGAAAATGTGTCCATGCTCTCAAAAGGCAGAGTGAATGTCAACTCTGCCTCGTGTTGTCGAGATAACTTTGCTTTGGGAACATGCTGGTTGACCACTGATGAGATCTTTTCAGCTTCACATCCCTCATTGACAGACATTCTGCGAGGGAGAAATAGAAAGCTAGTTAAACAGAGTCCTATTCTAGTTTAGACCACTTGTTAGGATGTACAAACCCTCAATAAGTTGCAGCAAAACACAACATAAAGGATTCGTACATTATGTCATACATTTATCAGGCTACTTATAACATGGTACACCAATGGGCCACTCAGGTTTAGATATCCAAAGACGGGTCACTGTTCTGTGACTTGCAGCAGTTTCCAACACTTGAGAGCTGAAGGAATAAACTACATCGTGGAGGTAAAGTCCACTTGCCTGAGATGATATCCAACACCACACTTGACCTTAAGATACATAGAAGAGCCGACACATTTCAGCTGTCCTTGAGAGATCACAGCTTTACGATCTGGAGAGAAAAACAAAAACAGTTTAACAATAACAACAAATCTATTCTTTTTGTTATAGAATCAGTTCTATCACATTAGAAGAACGGAAAGAGTAAAAAAAAGCTGATTTATTACAAAAACAAAAGGAATCCTTGAATCTTTCTACGGCTCGTTCTTTACACTCAACTACTGTGTGTAACACATCTACAGCACGGTTGCAAAGAACAAAATTCTTCAATTAAAATCTAATTAATTTGCACTTTTAACTGGATAACAATGGCAAGAGTAAGAGCTGTCATTCATCATGGTTGTGTTGTGCCTGTGAATCAGTGCAGGTTATGTAACAGAGAAAGTTCATACCAGCAAGAAGGTCAGCCTCGTCCATGTAGTGCGTGCTGAGGACAGTGACTCTGCCGGCTCTGCGGCTCTTCAGCAGCGACCAGACCTGGTGCCTGGAGCAGGGGTCCATGCCTGCTGTGGGCTCGTCCAAGAGCAGGATCTGGCAGGAACAAACACGGCACAAACGGCTCAGAATGATGTGATCGTGCTGAGACAGGTGGCAGAGTGACCGATAACTCCAGGCATGTCAAAGACTTTCCCGTCTGGGACCAGCATACACACAAAAACAAAGTAAACGATTAATGGTAAAAAGGACTTCCTGCAGGTACCTTTGGATCCCCGAGAATGGCGATGCCCACAGAGAGTTTCCTCTTTTGGCCTCCGCTCAGATTTTTGGCCTGAGCAGTCATGATCTTCTCCAAGTCCAGATCCTTCAGCACTTTGGAAACCTATTAGAAAGAATCAAAATCACCTGTCAATTTCTACAATCAACAGTCCATCTCGTCACCCTCATGCTACATTGTGGAATAAGCCATCTAAAATTAGAAATGGTCAAATTGATACTAAGATGACGTGTGCTCATGCTCATTCAGACAAAACATTTGACGAAATAGGCCTTGAAACAAAACTACGTAGAAGACAGATGCTGTTAGATCATCACATTACCTCAGCGTTGACGTCCGAGGGTGGGATCCCTTTGATGGCGGCAAATATCCTGAGGTGCTCCTCCACGGTGAGCACGTCAAAGATGATGTTGAACTGGGGGCAGATTCCCACCAGCTGCTTCATGTCCGACCCGTCTGCGATCTCTGCTACGGGGGAGCCGTAGATGGTGGCCGAGCCGCTGGTGGGCGGGCAGATGCCACACAGGATGTTCATGAGAGTGGACTTTCCGGCGCCGCTGTGTCCCAGCAGAGCCGTGATCTGGCCCTCATAGATGTCAAACGTCAGACCTGAAGGAAGGTTGTAAAGAAAGAGAAGGACGGCATCACGAAAATCAGTCAGAAAATGCACATTAACATAAGAGCGGACACGCAGAAGAGCTGAACAACATATAGTTTGAGCATTGACATCATTGGACGCCATTAACAGGCCACCAAAGGAAACGGGCCGTTATCTTTTAAGTAAAATTACAGATTTCTCTGCGTTTGAAAATTGTTAGAAATATTAGGATAATGTAAGTACACAACTCAACTAAATATATAACATAGGTCGTCTACTTTTCAATGCTGAAATGTTATATATTAGACCTTTAACTGGACACACTGAAGTGGAACTGATGTATTCTGTGAGAACTGGAGCACATCACAACATCTGCTGCTCAGTGAGAAGCCTCTGAAGGTGTAAATGTTCAGCACTCACCTCTCAGAGCCTCCACCACATTATCCTTCTCTTTGTACACTTTCTGGATGTTGTTGATGCTGCCAGAGAAGGAGCAAACAAGCAATGTTGCAGCAACATTTTTTTTTCAAAAAGTGTAAACACAGAATCAGTGTCAGCGTGAAGAGCAGCTCTCAGGTTACAGGCTGGTCCCACCGGCACTGACCCAAGAACAGCCCGGCTGCATGTTTAACTGAGCCACTCATTTCACGAGAAACTCTCAAAGCCTCCATTTCTCTCCTCATGCTTCAGTATCTTCCTCTGAATGGACATTTTAGATATTTTATGTTAAAACATCATTAAAACTTGAATTTAATGCCCTGAGTGAAATGATGGAAACTACAAAAGCATCCTCAATAACAAAAGCATTTCATCAAGCTGTAGTAACACATCAGCTATTTAACAGGCTGCATTTCCAAGAAGTCCCTATTGCAACAGAAATATGCATCCGACTGACGTTCATTATGAAAGTTCAGATTTTTACCGGATGGCCTCTTTCCCTCTGAACTCGGGGGAAACCGGCTCGACAGACTCGTCGTCACCAGGAGCTCCTTTCACCTCTGTGTCGTACACTGAGCTCACTTCCACGTAGCGCTTTCTGCGTTTGGACCAATAGGATGGCTTCAGGAAGTACACCAAGGACCTCCTCATTCCAAACTCACCTGCATTTCAGACAAAATGTAATCCTTAATAACACTAAAACAACGATACCTTAAGTGATCTGACAGGGACACTTGGCTAATGCAGAACTGATACGACTAATAGTATTAAAGCGGATTTAATTAGTTGTGACTTATATTGAGGTATACTGTGTGTATGTACTTACCAGGCAGTACCTGGTCCAGGTAGATAGCCAACAGAAGGTAGAGGATGCAATCCACAACCAGCATGAGCAGGGGCACGTAAAGAGGATGAGGGCCGTTGGCCAGCGAGGAAAACACAGCACCATCTCCCTGGGCCTCCAGGTAAACCACCTAACATATGAATACACGTTATTCACAAGTGTGTTCTATTTGGCTAACTGCATGGCTCCTTGTGGATTATTACTTTTGTTTATATGCAATACCAAAATTAGAAGCACCTGTGGTCAAAAGACAGGATGCTAATGTCTAACATCTAGTTACTGATTCTTATAGGGTGGTGGATGGATACGAACCCTGGTGAAGGCAAAGCATCATGGGAGGGGAATAACACCAACAACAGTATACTGGACGTTGACCATTTGAAGGACATTTTTCACCTGTGCGATCCCGATTGAGAAGGCGCTGGGGGAGAGCAGGCAGAGGAGCCAGACCAGCGGCTGTGGGAAGTCCTTCATCAGCACGGTGAACAGTGACAGGCAGCCGAACACCACCGTCAGCATGGAGCCCACTGTGCTGGCAAACTTGGGCTTCTTAAATAACGGAGTCAGCATGAAGGAGAAAAAGATCTGTGGAACGAGAGACGATTGAGAGTGGGCAGAGGGAGATAGGAGGAGGGAACAGAATCAGAATGATCAGGACTCCAAGCATCAATGCTGTTGTACTGAGAGCACAAAACGCCTGGCTCAGAGACTGTACTGGGGGATATGTACATTCACAACAGGTTGGGAACAAAATCACCTTCCAACAGTCGTGCTCGTAAAGCTGCTGTATTGTTATTGCTCTTTCCATGGTAATCACTTGAAACCTTCGTATCCCCATGTCACTGGATATTAAGCAGGTTTTTTAAGGACATTTATTGTCATTCCAGAACACGTTATATTTGAAAGTTAACGAAATGAAGAACCGTCTATTCTTTGTGTTTAAACACAGTATTTCTGCCCAGTGTGCACTAATATCAGCAGTAATATACTATTTGTAGAATTAGAGAGAGAGAGTGGTGCTTGCGTAGGATTGCTTCTGGCGTGTGTGATCCAAATATTTCCAATAATAAGATGATTGTTACGTCCAACATTCACTACATTTCTTTATCTCATGAAATATTCTGCTTCATTCCATATTTGTTGGTGTTCAACCTTTTTAAAAACATCATCATCACTGCGGTTTGCTCTCCTGCTTGTCGAACACAACGAGAGGCAGCACTGACGAGTTATATTCAATAAAGTTGATTTAGACAAAAAGATCCAGAGAATCACTTCATTGGAATTGTTTAAAGAATTTTTTAGGGTTCAGAAATGTTGAAACCGGGCAAAATAAAACCCAAACTATCTGCATGGCTAGTAGACACCAGTCAGGCTCAGTGAGAAGATAAACATGCGCCTACGTGACACTTTACACAAAGCAACACGGGATTACTTCTGCTCGATCACGGCTCTACTCACCGATGATATTCCATAGAGGAAGATGAGGAAGAAGACAACTAAGAAGTCACTGTTGGGGAACAGGGCCGTGTATGTAGCGATGATGGCCATCAGGAAGGACATGGTAGTCACTAGAGCAGCATACAGGAGGCCCCATGACAACCTGTTGTACAACACAACACCTTAAGCATAGACACAATCAAACAACAAAACTGTGAAACTACAGTGACTGAGCCCTCTTCTTCCTCACCAGAAAGAGGTGTCGTACAGCCCCATCATGGTCATGGTGTCTTTGAGGCGATGCTCCTTCTCAGCTGCCACATTGACGATGAGGAAGGTGACGAAGGGCGTGAAGGCCAGGACCAGGTAGATGGAGATCAGGGCGTGGGGGAATTTCTGCACCTCCACGGAGCCTGGCTGACCCATCATCACCACCTTCAGGTCCATCTCACTCCACACTGAACGCTTTGTCTGCATCTGTACACAGCAGACGGACCATTAGCACTGCATTGACATTTTATGTGTTGTCGAAGAAGTTATCCTGAGCAACACACGCGCTGCATCTTTATTTCCTCTTTCGGTTGGAGTGGGTTCACGCTGAAGAACATTGTGCTGATCTCTGGCTGGTCTCACCTGGATGATGGCTGCGTCGATCAGAGACTGGAGGCGGATGAAGCCAGAGTACCAGTAATTAGCTGCTCTGCAGTTCACCGAGCTGGTGAAACAGTTGGCTGGAGGAGAACAAGCACAATGGCAACAACATAAGGACTGTGCATGCCAGATATACACGGCATTTCAACTTTAGCAGGCAATAATCTGGCTGGCTTTTAATCTTAATATTGTAAAATGTTCTAAATAATAGGTTTGGCTTTTCCCTCATGGGGAATACAGTCTCTGGAAGCCCTCAGACGTTTTTGCCAGGATAATCTGTTTATTATTACGTTTTTTTTCCAATTGTGAGAGCTGGTGAAAAAGAGTGTGGGCAGGTGATTCTTTGTTTTTTGTCGGGATAATTTTATGTTTGTTGTTGTAGTACTTTCTTTGGCCACAAGAGGCTGAAGCGCACCACTATTACATGTTGTAAATAGGACTAAACGCAGTCATGTTGTCTTCCAGGCGTTTTAATTTACACATTATATGTACCTTGTGTTTAGAGAGCATGGGGAAATAAATTATTTTTAAAATCACCAGTCAAAACGTTTGATTCCAAAAATTAAAAAAAAGGTTATTCAGAAAAATCGAACTGGCAACCTTTTCTTCACCTGGCAAACTTTTTGTTTTGTTTCAGAGATTTAAAAAAAAAAGGAATTTAGAAATACAGTACTGGCAAAAAAAAATTTCACCGGTCATAACAGAAGAAATGCCTCAAAATCTGAAAAAAACGAAGGGGGTCTGAAAATGTTCTAAAAAAGGAAATTTTATACGTTTCAATAAAAGAAGTCAAAATTAAAGAAAGTCCGAATTAGACTATACCAATAGATTCTGTGTAATCGCTGGGTAAGGGCAGCTGGTTGAACGGGAAGCGTAGTCTGTAAGACGTGGCAGAGCTGTCCATGAACACAACACCGACATAGCTGGAGGGCTCGTACAGGCTGGCGTTCTCAAGGTCCTCCTCACTGGCAAACATTTCCAGACGATCCTGCATGTCTGAAAAGACAAGGAGGGGGAGAAAGGTGTCATGAACCAAGAATAGTCTGTGCCAGTAACCTTCTGGTTCTCCTTCCTCAGTCACTTATCCATTTGACACAGATCAACAGATGTCAAGAACAACACAAGGACGCGACGGTTCTCAGGCACTTACGCATCTCATGGGCCACCTCTTCCATGATGTGGTTGGTGATGTTACTGATCGGCGTGAAGCCCAGGCCCTTCAAGAAGTGGTCGTCACGCTCCAGCTCCAAAGTGCTGATGCCTCCATAGTAGACGTGAGGATTCAGGGTGCTGATGAGTATCAGGAGACCCAACAGTAGCAGAGGTAGGATCAGTTCCTGCAAAGACAGACACAGAGAGACCGCTGATGAGAAAACCACTAATAGTTTTCCATAGTTCATCCTTTGTCCAACCAAACACAACGGATAAAAGAAATCTTCAAATGACTACTTCTCCAGCTAAACACAGTAGTCTCTAAGTCTGACATCATCCAGCTCTTCCCAGGCAAGATGGAACAATACATTCACCATCATTTGTGTCTGTCCCATCATCTCCTTCCAGGTGGATTTGGTCACAAAGCTTGTGACCATATGAGAGTGTTATAACATCAATCTACGAGTAAATAGAGCACTTTGCTTTAAGGCTTTACAAATTCTTCTTTTATTTCATAGTCATGAGCTTCTCATACTGACTGTGTTCAGGGACTCTCATATCTAGTATAATCTAATATCAAGACAAACGACAAGAGACATTCCTTCTCTTCCAATAAACAACGTGCTGCAGCTTCACCTTGAGAAACACAGTAAATTAAAAAAATACATTGGGAGCCACTGGCATGTCAAGAGCGGGTTTCAGGCTGTTAAAGAGCTTTCAACAAAGAACTACTTTAGAGCTTTTGGTTGAGGCAGTTCCACTGAGAAAACTTGATCAGAGAATCTTGTTCACCTGAGATTATCTGTGTGCACAATAGAATCAAAACCTCATTTAGGAAACACTGTCCTCACATGAGAGGTTTTCTGGGGCTCTGTTTTCCAGTTCCCACAGAACATTCCATAAAAAGATTCATTTGATCAATTATCAATGGTTATCTGAGCTTAAACAGCCAGCGACAAACAGTTGGCATGTCTGGTATGAAGTAAACAAGCCGTATTAATCACACTGCAGCTTCGGACTTTCCCAACTGCTGTTTAGAAAGCTGCAGGAGGTCCCTCAGTGCTGCCTCCCCAAAGAAAAGTTGATACACACAGTGACATTAAAAATGCATCAGCGCAAATAAAAAATGCATGGTGTAACAAACAGGAGAATGTGAGGTAGAGGAAGAGGCACAAGCTCTCTCTTTTATCCAATTCCAAAATCTATACTGTGTATAAATGAAGGAGTACTTTACCAAGGGCAAGAGGTTTGAGTGTAGTTTGATTCACTCGAGCAGCTACATTTGTGACAGCATGAGCACATTATGAGTCTTATTAAGTGAAGCTGAGGTTTCCCTGGAATAACCACAGAGAGAGCTGACTCAGAGATCCAGACATAATATGTGCTAGCCTTGAGAAAAGGTATGTGGAGTCCAAGATAACGGCACACCACGGGCATAACAAACATCTCTTCCCTACTGTAGCGGGTAAAACCGTCAATAGAAGTAAAAGTAACCGAGAACTGTGTTAAAATAAAAAGGTTTATATATAACGGCAAACCAGTAACGTAATGTGAGACAAATGAGTCAGGTTTTATGTTGTGAAAATATTAAATTCAGTATCGATCATTCATAAACTACCTGTACAAGCTGTTATACACACACACACTACACGCCCAGTTCCTTCTCCATTTACTCTGCACAGTGTACGTCACTGCTCCACAGTGGCTCCAGTCTAAATATTGACTTAGCTACATGACACGTTGTGGGATATAAACTGTCAACCACTGCAACAAGACAGCAGAACAGATTCATATCAGTCTGCTACAATAAAACTAAGCACCTGAAGACTCTGTTGCTTGGTCCTCCATTTGATGAGCAGGTTCTTGTAGAGAAGACTTCTTGTTTGGTGCCAGACTCCAGCATCTCTTCTATACATGGGTTGCATACTTCCAGCATTCCTCATCCGGATGACGTACGGACGACAAGTCGTCTCCCTAATGCTGGCCTCAGCTGCAAGTTAAAAAAAGAATTAAAAAATGAAAGGGAAATGAAAAACTTTCCATTTACTTGAGGCTTTTTTGTTTTATAATACAAGCTTTGCAGAACAAATTAACACACACACACACACACACACACACACACACACACACACACACACA